GTGTGACACAGTTTTATGTTTTTTTTGGAAAATACAAAGTGATTTTTTATTTGCATGAATGGATCGTTTTCTGATTTACAATGAAGTGAAATAGCACATACATACCTGGGCGCTCGGAAGTTCTCCACAGTAGGAGGGCAGTAGAAAGAGGTAGGAGAGGCCCGTTAGTTAGGAGTGCCACAGTTACTTGAGGAGTGCGAACTCCCCTGCTCCGTATTAGTAGCAGGTAGATGAACCGGGTCTTACTGTGTTTCTTGGCTCGGAGAGAACGGAGAGTCCTGGGGCTTGGTTCCCCGCGGGGTGTAGTCCCACCCCGTAAGCGAAACTGGGTAATGCTCCCAGCCTTCCGGGTAGACTGTGACTCTGTGAGGACCCCGGCCTCAAAACTTTTTTTTGGAAATATAAGCCTTGGGCACTGGGCCCGTTGTTTGCAAACTCTCAACTTCTGTTTGTTTACCTTCCACTACCTACTCCTAAGACTATCTAGAGGGGACCCCTGCAAGCGTAGTTTTCCTCTCTTTGTGAAGGGGAGATTTCATGGAGAGAGAGATATTTCATGTAGAGGGGACCCCTGCATGGACTGAGAGAGAGAGWGAGTTCTTCTTCTTCCTCTTCTAAGTCCACCATCTCTTCTTACCCTCTCGCTGCCGACTTCTCAGTATCTGTGGACTACGAGAGAGAGATATGACCTGAGACTTGACGACATTGGATTCAGACTCTACATTTGGGATTCAGACATTCCCATCTTCCCTCCTCTTCGTCTAACCCCCCTCTTCTCGTCTGTGTATGTGTGGGGCTGGCGCAGTCTTCCTGTGTGAAGYGCCAGACCCCTTTCACACTCTGGGATGATGATGATGATGATGTTCAGGGCTGCATTGCAACATTGATTGTTCGGATCATTGGTATCTAAGTCTTCCGTTTGCGCCATCTTGTACTTTGTATTGAGAGGTCGGTTCTTGTTCTGGTCTGCACAGTTACAGTATGCAACATTATTCTCCAGTATTTTGGTACCGTTAGATTCGCAATACATCAACGGCAGAGCTCCGTCCCACCATGCCACACGTGATAGAAAGCTCAGCGTTGAGAAAACTCAACTCTGTAGGTGGGACTAGACCCCTGGGGTGAAGTCCCACCGTCGAAGTTGAGTTTTCTCTACGCTGAGCTTTCTATCACGTGTGGCAGGGTGGGACGGGCTCTGCCGTTGATGTATTGCGAATCTAACGGTACCAAAATACAGGAGAATAACCTTTTTTTTTTTTTTCAAGTCCAGGGTGTTGTGGAGGACAGTCAATGAGTGCACAGCGATCACCTGGAACTGTGAGCCATGGGTGTCCTTTTGAGACCCAATCCCAACCCATCCTCTCGTCATACTCCTAGCGCACCCCCTGTCCCACTATCCTACCTCAGTGTAACCAGCACTCAGGACAGTTGAGCACGCAACTTGGACCGAACAGCAGTGATAGGCACAGTCACACGCAGACAGACACACAGCAGTGATAGCCTGATAGGCACAGTCACAGGCAGTCACACGCAGTCACACGCAGTCACACACACTCAGCCCAACCAGCACACAGACAGGCACAGTCACACACACGCAAGCCACCCAGCACTCAGACAGACATGCAGTCCAGCACGGCTGAGCAAGCACACACACGCACAGACTTCGCAGGCGGGAACTCAGTAGGCATTCAGTCTATGAGCAGTCACACGCAACTGATCTCTCTCTCTCTCTCTCTCTCTGTGTGTGTGTGTGTGTGTGTGTGTGTGTGTGTGTGTGTGTGTGTGTGTGTGTGTGCGACACTGTGTGTATCTCTTAAACCCCCAGTCACACACACACTCATACCAACCAGCACACAGACAGGCACAGTCACACACACGCAAGCCAACCAGCACTCAGACAGACATGCAGTCCAGCAAGCACACACACACACAGACTTAGCAGGCGGGAACKCAGTAGGCATTCAGTCTTTGAGCGGTGTGTTTTGAACCAACGACCTGTGTTTTAGTAGTGACTGTGCTTTGTCATAGGTCCCTGTGGTTGTAGGGATTCGATCTGTGGACCTGTCAAGTAGGGGTTACAACTGTGTAGAGGTCGAAACTGCTAGGCTAGAGGTCTGTAGGTAAGTTGCAGGTAAGTTGAAGGTGCAGACATTGGGATTCAGCTTGTTTGTTTTTATTTGTTGAAGGTTGTTGATTTCTTTTTCTTGTTGTTTTGTTGCGTATTTCTGCGTTGTGTGTCAATTTTTGTTTTTGCTTTGGTGTCCAGGTTCTTTCTGCAGTTTCTGATTCGACATTTTCAGCAGTTCCTTTGCATTCTACTGTCGCTCTCTCTCCGATTCTGTTTCCTGCACCTATTTCCTCTCCGGTTTACGACGCGGTCTTTTTGTAGTGCCGATGTTTAAGCATGCCATGCCGGAATGGTAAGGATCCGGCGGACTCGTCCAATTCCGCCAGACAAGGTCACAACACGAAGAGTTTCGACTCGCCGTTCAAGGTTGATCCGACAACCGACGGCAAGAGAGACGACCCCGTCTGGCATTTCATCGCACGAGGTCGTTATTTGGATGGGTCCACTGCGGCGGGTAGAAAGAGTGGTCGTCGCTGCATGTGCAGGTTGTGCGGCCGTTCGATGTGCAGGGGCGCTAAGGCCGCCAAGGAACACTTTTCAAAGAGCGAGAATTTTCGATGTGAGGTGGCCACTCCTGCAGTGTGGTATGCCATCTGGTCAAAGGACATGACAAAATGTACGAAGGAGTTCGTATCGGCTATCGAGGCATTGCAGAGCTTATCTCACGGTCATCCGAACTTCCAGTGGCCACCGCTACGATACCCCGAGCACTCAGTGCCGCCCCTCGATTCCGCCACTGCCCCCTTGGAGACGGTGCCTTCGTCTAGTCCAGCCGTTCGAGTCACAGTGCCGCATTGAACGCCACCATGTCCACCAGCTCCAGCGTCTGCACCGCTGACAGGGACACAGGGTGCAGGTGGTTTACACGTCGGTCGGTCCGTGCCGGCCAATGAGACCCCTCCTGTTCGAGGGGGTGGGGGTTGTGCGGCGTTCGACGAACACAGCACACGAGCTTTTGTCGAGAGCCGCACGTGGGGGGGTGGTGTTGGCACTTCGGCTGGACGGGCTACCACTATTGCGGCCCCGGGCACACTTGCCCCTGTTTTTAATAGTGGAAGATAACCACATGCTGCACGGGCTACCAGTATTGCGGCCCCGGCCACAACTGATCGCAGTCCATCGGACCACCCTTGGTTGCCGCCTCCACCGTCACGAGTGGCACAGGTTGTGGCCGCCGGCCACATTGCTATGATGGGCAAACTGGAGCCTTCGCGCGTGGCTGCAGATGCTCGACAGCCTGCTTCCCTAGTTGGGGAACAGGCAATGCCCGGGCTGGGTGCTTCTGAGGTCCCCATTCCGGTGTCTGATTCGTCGCCAACCCCGCTTCCACCGACGACAGGTGTTGCTTCAGCTGCTCCACATGTACTTACCGGTTCATTGGATCCTTTGTACCGCATGCGCGACATTGCAGCGGCCCAGAGCGCGACACCTGAGAGTCCTGGTGGGTTGTTGGATGTCGGGATCCTTGGCGGGCCAGCCACGACGGGACGTGGCCGGGGCACCTTTCGCCAACAGGCTGTCACGTCGTATTATTCGGACCCTTTGGAGCACGCGTGGCATTTGCAGATCATGCGCTTCATCGTCGAGAGTGGGATGACGTTCAACTGCGTTAAGCTTGAAAGCTTCAAACGCATGTTCGCGATGATCATCCCGCCGCGGGTTCCAGGGGCGCCCACGCCCAAAGTACCCACGTACCACATGGTGCGCACATCCCTTTTGGATGAGCTGGATGCAGAGGTCCAAAAGTGTGTTCGGCCACTTCTTGACACGGCGAGAGAGTTTGGTTGCACAATCATAACCGACGGTTGGACCAACATTAGAGGTCAGACATTGTGCAACTACCTTGTCGGGACAAATTTGGGGGCAGCTTATGTGGCGACCGATGTCATGCACGGGAAGAAGGACGCCACTGCCCTTGCGACCGCGTGGCTGAAGAGGGTGAAGTCCATGGACATGGACTTGAGCGACATCACAGCGTTCGTGACGGACTC